GCAAATGATGTAACTGACAAAGGCTTAATTTCCAGAATAAATAAACAGCTCATACAACTTAATAACAAACAAACAAAAAAAACCAAATCCAAAAACAGGCAGAAAACCTAAACAAGCAATTCTCCAAAGACATATAAATAGCCAACAGGCACATGAAAAAATGCTCAATATTGCTAACTATCAGAGAAATGCACATCAAAACTACAATGAGGTATCACCTCGCATCAGTCAGAATGGCCATCGTTCAAAAGTCCACAAACAATAAATGCTGGAGAGGCTGTGGAGAAAAAGGAACCCTCTCTTTCATTGCTGGTGGGAATGTAGTTTGGCACAGCCATTATGGAAAACAGTATAGAGATTCTTCAAAAAACTAAAACTAGACTTACCATATGATCCAGGAATCCCACTCCTGGGTATACATCTGGAGGAAACTCTAATGTGAAATGATACATGCACCCCATGTTCATAGCAGCACTATTTACAATAGCCAAGACATGGAAGCAACCTAAATGTCCATTGACAGATGACTGGATAAAGAAGTTGTGGTATATTTATACAATGGAATACTACTCAGCCATAAAAAAGGAATAAAATAATGCCATTTGTAGCAACATGGATAGCCCTGGAGAATGTCATTCTAAGTGAAGTAAGCCAGAAAGAGAAAGAAAAATACCATATGATATCACTCATACATGGAATCTAAAAAAAAGAAAGAAAGAAAGAAAAGGATACTATGAACTCATCTACAAAACAGAAACAGACTCTCAGACATAGTAAACAATCATGGTTACCAGGGAAAGGGGGTGGGAAGGGATAAATTTGGGAGTATGAGATCTGCAAATGTAAGCCACTATATATAAAAACAGATTTTAAAAAAACCCAAGTTTCTTCTGTATAGCACAGGGAACTATATTCAACACCTCATAATAACCTTCAATGAAAAAGAATATGAAAATAAGTATATGTATATGACTGGGACACTGTGTTGTACTCCAGAAGTTGACAAATTGTAACTGACTACTTCAATTAAAAAAAAAAGAACTTATCTAATATTAGATAAACATGCTGAAAAATAACAAGCTAAATGTGCAACTTATGAAAGTAGCTAAAGAAAACACAACTCAAAAAAAGAAAAAAATGAGATTTAAAAAGCTATGAGTAGAAATTGTTAAAACAGGAAACAAAGAAAAATAGAAAATAAAACCAGTATCATGAAGCAGACAAGAAAAACAAGTGTTGGTGAGGATGTGGAGAAAAGGGGACCGCTCTGCACTGTTGGTGGGAATGTAAGTTAGTTAACCCACTACAGAGAACAATATGCAGGTTCCAGAAAAAATTAAAAAGAGAACTACCATATCATCCA